TTTCAAAATTATTCGGCAATTGAGAATCTTTTCTTATACCGAAGGATATCCTTTCTTTACGTATGACATTTAAAGAAGAAATTATTTGCTACAAAATGAGTACGAGAACGGATTTTTTCGTGCATGTTTTCCATAAAATATATTTGCATCCATAAATGCAGTCAAAATCTTTGATTAAAAGATATGCTAATTAAGTAGCCATTTTTCACAGTACGTACTTTTTGTTAGAAAGAAGCACGTTAAAAAGCCGCCATCCTATCGTGACTGAAATGACTTGAGAAAAGGCTACAAGATAATCAGTATTACAACTTTAGTTAATGCCGATTGGCGAGTGAGTATGAAACTCTCGCAAATGTCGACATGGTGCACGAATTCGGAGCTGAGCTGTAATAGCAGTTTACTCACAAATTTGGTAATTCAAGATAGCATTGGCATAACCCTACCTTGGGAGGCCTCAACATAGGCAGCTTAACCCATTAAGGACTACTTAAAACAACTTTTCTTTCGAAGAAACAAAGGAGTTAGCTTACTTACGTTCAGCATAATTACTCCATCTTTATCAAAACGAGCTTGAGATTCCGAGGATCTGTTGGCCATATAAAGGAATGAAATAGCCCGAGCATTACGAACGATAGTATGATTCCATTGCAAATTTTTCCCGAAGAAAAGTTTGCATTCTGTTTCTACGTGAAACTGTGTAATTTGCGCGCTATCATTGTCGTCGCTGAAGGGGCATATCTGAAAATGAAAAAGTTATTGTAAATATTCCAATATGTGGTCTGTTTTTTTAAAATATAGAGGTTGGAAACAAAAAGTACCTCCACTGCTGTTCATCTGTTTATTCATTATTTTAGGAAAGTCTATTAACTAATGTATAAGTTCTTGGTAAATTGCCCTCTCTCTCTACAGAGTACCCCACCTGTACTTTAGGTCTTAAAATGTTCGATCTAACTATTCATCTATTCGTTTTCACCAATGTTTGGCTTACGTCTGACAGCAGCCAAGAGGTATAGGCAGCTTGCTGGTAGATCAATTAAAGCATTCTCTTTTTCTTAATCCACATGTTACAGGAAATATATATATATTGTTTGAAGAAAAGCTGATCTTTGGGATAAAAACGGTAAATTCAATCAGTGAATCTTCGAGCCTGGTTCCCCAGCTCGTCTTCGAACTAACGAGCATTTGCAAAGAACAATTTAAATTTCAAACTTGCGGAAAAAATCAAGATTCATGTAATATGAGAGCAAATTGGTAGTTGTGGCTTCTTTCAGTCTGTATTTTGCGGCTCTCGTCCCTATCACCGTTTTTTGAGATGTTTACACGCTCCATCTAATTCAATGTGGCGGTTGATGCATGGGTCATCGGCCTTAAGAAATTCTCTGCCTGTTTTGGAGGGGCAAACTCCGACGATGCGTGTTTTGTCCCATGCGAAGCTATGTCCTGTATCAAGGCTGTGCATCGCAACTTCGAATAAATGGTCGCATTTTTTCACTGTCAGTTGGAGTTCATGAATGCGTTTAGAAACGGATCTTCCTGTTTGGCTGCGGTATACTGCATCACACACTTCGCACGGGATCTTGCAGGCGACTTCTTTCATATCGAAATAGTCAACCCTATCCTTATGGTGTGTAAGCTATGTACCTAAAGTAGTCGTTGGTTTGTATTTACTCAAGAAGGAATCCAGAAAAGTCAGTTAATGTGCATCTGCTATTATCATTAAGTCCTACCCTAAACTCACGCTGGAACTGCAACAACAAGTTAAATGTTCAATTATCTAGATGGGGTAACCAGTCTCGAACATTTACTGATTAAATTACCATTTTTTTTCCAGAAAACATCTTGTCTTCAAAGTAACTTTCGTTAGATGTATGATTTCTAATTAATATATATTGTATCTGGACAAAACGAATCTATTGCCAGAGGGGAATGATTTCACTATCCTGTGTTGTTTTCCCAGTTGATTATTAAAAAATGTCTGCGAAAATATTCGAGGTCTAGTTATAATACTGCTTTCATCATTCCCGGAAGAGGAAGAAGAGGACGGGGCAATTTCTGACACACCCCTAGTGAAGGTGCTCACGAGGGCGCGAATAATTCAAACAGCCACCAGCAATCGATCGGTACAATCGATCGACACGCATGCATCAGGCACGGCTAGCTGTTAGACACACTCACTCGACAGCAGCAGGAGAAAAGGCATTACGCTCTGATGCTGGAAGCGATAATGCTTTTGAAACGTCGGCATAAATACAACTTGGTCTCAGAAATTGCTCCGTCTTCTTCTTCCTTTTCTGGGGATGATGAAATTAATATTTAAATATGTGAACATGTTTGTAATATGACAATCAGTATCTTCAGGGCGAAGCCACAAGCCGTTGCTTACCTCGTTCAGAATAATTCCATATGAGTTTATTTTGCTGTCCAGTTTGATGGATTCATGCAGTGAGTTATTTTGGCTCAGAAAACCAGTCCAGTTTACTTGTATTTCCTTGTTATTGGAGGCTTCAATCATGAGGATGGAAATTGGAGCTTTTGACAAATTTCCGGGCAGTACAAAGTGAACGACGCCCTTCTCAGTTCGCACAATGGCATCATAAAGGAAGTTTGTGCTACTATTACATGGCGGCGTACAGTTTGGATTGGTAACCAGATGAATGTTTACCTG